GATTTTATAACTTGCTACAACTATACTAGTATACTTACTAGTTAATTTCACTTTTAGTGCAACTGTTGAAAAAGTGACACTATCAAAATACAACTTTTCCTACGTTTTACATCAATCACATTGCAATACATAACACAACAAACGAATCCTAAGTACGATGAGATAGGATAGAGTCTTTCCTTACCTCGGATTGAAGACCCAACATAAATTTATGGTAGAACACGTCCCTCACACGGTGCTTCATCCTACGTACATGAAAAATCTCCATGAGAATTTGAGAAAACAAAGAAGAGGAATGAGAACCGAGACCCTAACCTATAAAACTTACCTCCAAGCGTCCCAAACACAATTTTAACCTTCAATCTAGCTCCCAAACGGCTTTGAAGGAAGTTTAATCTGTGAAATAAGGTTGATGATAGAGAGAATTGAAGGGAGATGAAGAGGGAAAAGTGTGAATGCGTTTCCTAAACTCTAAACTCTTCAAATACCCTAAAAGTCGTGACACTTTCGTTGCAGCGAGACCTCCTCTCGCCACAGCAAAAATATCAGACGAATCTGCATTCTAGTTTCTACAGAATCTCTCTACAGTGAGACTGCACCCAAATAATACCCTTTCTCTGTTGCCCTCTCGCTACAGTGAGAGAACTCTTGCTACAGCGAAAACACAACAGAATCACACCCTTCACTCAGGACTTTCTCGCTACAGCAAAAATGTCCCTACAGTACACACTTAACCTACTTTTCCCATCTAAACGTGAGTTCACATTCATCTTTCAATCATAATATACAAATATGTACGCACCTACATGTATTTGCACACATATCACATCACCACATAAGTCAAATGCACATTCAAACATCAATTTACATATTTATATTAATAATCAAGTAGTTTACAAAATTTTGAGGCGTTACAAAAAAAATAAGTGAAAGTTCTTCCTTTTTACATGCATGCCTTTACATAGAGTTTTGGATTGATGTTACCCCTCCAAATAGCACCTCACGGCTGCGCACTTCTCTCACAAGTGTTGAGATTCAATTTTGGTATCTTTTTGACTTATTTCACAAGCCTATACATGTGGACATTTGTAAGAGTCTAAATTGCCCTTTTATGATGGCTTTTGTACTTCTAGTTAGATTTTAACCTTCCTATTTTTATTCTAATCATTCTAATTACTTTTTGAAACTTATTTTTTTCAAGTTCAATGGCCATGGTCATGGTTCAATTAGATCCTTTGGATGAGAATTAATCCAATCAATAACACAAATTACTCATCATTAGCCTTATCTCCTTAATGATTACTTTATTGACTTGGCTTGACTTTATTAGCTCTTGTGGAATATACTCATCTTGCTGAGATTAAGCCGTAATTAACTTTATTCCTTAATCATGATTAGTCTCACATGAACTCTAATGGGTCAACATGGCTCTTTACTACTATTCCTAACCCACTTTTCTTTATTTACACTTGATTTTTGGGCTTTTTATGAGTAATTTTAGGTAATCTCTATACTTACTCTTTGGGCTTTATACTTACACGTCCAAAACTTTTACATATGGGCTATCCACTATAAAAATTTTAGAATTTATTTTCTTCGTTTACTTGTCCAAAATGGCTTCTATTCTAGATATTTTTACAAGTATTTTTTTCATTTTAGTCAAATTTTACAATTTTATTTATTCTCTATTTTATTTTTTTTATTATCGTATTATTTTTACCAATCATATCAGTTTTGGTAAATTTTGTTAAAGAAAATTATAATTTTTAAATCTTTATGTAGTAATTACTTCTAATTCAATAAGATTAACATAATTCAATAATCATTTATAAAGTGAAAAAAAATTTGAGGTGTTACACTTCATTATTAATTAATAAAAAAATTTACTTTGTTTTATAGAATTGTAATTGCTTGAAATCTGTTTTAAACATTTAGAAATAAATTTTTTTTTATACATTCTATTAAAGTTATAAAAGTGTAAATAAATAAATAATTTTTATTTTAACAAAATTATATTATAATTAGTTGTTTAAATTTATTTTTAAGAATTGAAATTAATAATTTTTTTATTTTTATCTTTTATTATTGTATGTCAATTTTTTATGAAATATTTGAAATTTGTTTTATAAAAAAAGTTATTATTTTTAAAATGTGAAACTACACTACATATAAAATATAAGTTTGTTGATAATATAAATTTCTAGTTTCTTAAAATTTGTATATTTTTTATTTTTTATTTCGTTTATTTTTCTAAACAATATTTTATATTTTATAATTTATTATAATTTACATTTAATTTTAATAATTAACACTCATTTATAAATTAATTATATAATTAATATTTATATTTTAATTCTGATACGATTTTTTTTTTTACATTTTAATCCTTCATCTAATGTCACAATAATTAATATAAAAATATTTACTCATACAAAGATTAAATTGTAATTTTTTTAATGTATATACCAAATTTAATATGTAATACATTACGGCCAGAGCAGCGTAGAATTTTCATAGCTTGAAAAAAAGTAGTCTTTCTGCTCTCTCCTCTTTTTTCACTCAACACAACATTTGTTCCAAATCTAAATCCTTCCTTCCAAGTTTTATTTTTCCAATTAATTCCTAAGTATTAATTTTAGATACTTATCTTTTAAGAGTGAAGACTTCATGATCTACTTTAATTTTCATAACTTTTCTTACATAGAGTATTTCATATATTTTTCATTCTCTTTTTTTTTCCATCTCATATTATTTATCTTTTAAAATAATGTACGTGCCTTAAAAAATTATCACTTATATGAATTACTATGATAAATTTTTTTTTACTAAAATACCTTCATTATAAAAAGTTAGAATAGAGTTGTGAATTGATTAAGTGTTTGAGATATTGATAAATAAAAATATTATTTGAAAAAATAATTAATAAATTCTTAATTTTTTAAAATAACATATTTTGAGACAAATTGACAATTTAAAAGTAATAGATAATATGAAATTGAGAGAGTATTATTATTTAAAATTTAATTAATTTGAATTTGTACTTTTCAATTTTTACACACAATATCAAATTAATAAACATAGAGAAGGATTGGGAATTTGGGGTTAAGCTCTAAAAAAAAAAAAAAAAGTTAAGCTCTGAAAAAAAATATATATCTTGATTCAAAATGATTTCTTCCTATAGTTTTTTCTTCAGTCGTAAGTTTCTTGCCTCTTATTTATTCATATATAATAAAATAGGATTTTTATTATTAACAATAAAGTATGTTAACTGTGAACGTACATTAAAAAATGTTAACTGTATTAAATGCTATGCAAATTTTGGGTATTACAACTTCCAACTTAGAATACTTTAGAATTAGTGTTTCATAATTGTATCCGTTGTTGTTAAACTATTAAAGAGATAGATTTGAGTGTTTGACACACACAGGTATTTTTAATATAAATCAAATGGTTTATCATACCAGTGAACGTTAACCAAGAGTATTTTATTAATACTTTTTTATCTACTAGTCTTACATTGAATAATTAAAAGTAAATAGGTAATTTCCTGACATATTAATCTCACATCGAATAAAGTTAAAATAAAAGAAGTGAACTTCGTATTACAAATACAAGCCAAAGCCTTATGGCATTGCAAAGTCCTATTATCCATAGTAAAATATTAAAGAAGAAAAGACTAAGAACATGTTTGTTTATGGGGATATAATTATTCATTTTTAAAAATTGATAATAAGTAATTATTGTTGAATCAAATACACATTAAATTTTAGTTAAAATCCGAAAGTGAAATAATCACTGTAATGAAAGTTTTCTTAAAAAGTTTCAAAATGGCATTTGAATCTTTATTTATAGTGTATTTGGACAGAGAAATTCAAAATTACCATATTACATATATATATATATATATATATATATATATATATTTAGATAATAAAAAATTATTTTTAAAATTTTAATTAGAGAATTTTTATGTCAAAAACAAAAAATTTTAAATAACATATTTTAGAGAGAATTTAAAAAGTCTTTTTATAATACTTAATTTTTAAAATTATCATTAATATTTTTTATCATTTTTAATTCACTTTTTAAACATCTCGTTATTAATGTTCTTTAGAATTTTAAAATTCTCCGTTCAAACACAACATTAATGTATTTTAATGAAATTTTGAATTAAAATAATTGGCTATTGATTCCTTCCGATCCTATAACTTATTTTGACAACACCAGCAAGACAAAATTGGAAAGCATATATTGAATATTAATAATAAGTAATGAAGATTATTTAGCAGGGTAAGGCCGGGGGAGCAAGTGACCAAAATATTATTGTTATTACCAGCCATTTCGGCAGCTACATAACTGCACGGAATGAGGACAAGTTTGAAAAAATAATAGCATCAGATTTCGCACAACTTTGAAGATTTAACAAATTTTATTACTCTAACTACTGAGGGGCATTGCTAATATCTTTATGCACTTTTATGGGAATATCCTGTTTGGTATTCTTTGTTTTCTGTCCATATTCCTAATCCTTCTTAATAGTCAAAACTCAAAAGTGTACATACACCAAAAGTGTGTGTGTATCATTATCCTTCATTCTAACTCTGGCCTAATGCTGACTGATAGGACTCTCTCCAAGTGTGAATCAAATTTTTGTGTCATGAACAAAGTCAACCCATGAAGTTAGGTTTGAATCCTTTTTCGTTCTTATATGGCAACTTCCCTAGCCATGACTTTTTCACAATATTTTAGAGTGTAGGTTCAAGCCATGGCCTGTGAGAGAGTTCCAATTCACTGTCCTTCTGACATTTGTCATGATCTGGACAGCCATGTTTGTCCTCAGTGATTGTCCATATCAGGACTTTCTAGACCACTCTGTCTCCTTTATCCAATCCCACCATATAAATGCATTCTCCAACTCAAATCCCCAACACGTTTTCTTCCACTTCCCTGCACTCCTTGAACACCTTACAACCCTTTTTCATACACAACTAGGTGCAACAATGATAGATTCAAACCCTCCACTCATGCAACATTATGGAGCACTTGTGAGAAATTCTGCTGAAGCCCAACAAGCTAAAAGTTTTAGTGATCAAAACCATCCTTTGGTAGATGCTTATGACCTACCACTGATAGACCTTAGTGGTCTTAAAAGTTCTACTGAAAAAGAAAGGCTAGCTTGCACTTCAGCAATATGCAAAGCAGCATCAGAGTGGGGATTCTTCCAAGTGGTAAACCATGGCATAAGCCATGACCTACTAAGAAAGATGAGGGAAGAACAAGTGAAGTTGTTTTCTGTACCATTTGAGAGGAAGGTCACATGCGGGCTTCTAAATAACCCATATAGGTGGGGGACACCATCAGCTACTCGTTCAAATCAGTTTTCATGGTCAGAAGCTTTCCACATTCCTCTCACCATGATTTCAGAAACAGCTTGCTGGGGTGAATTCAGTTCTTTGAGGTATATTGTTCTTACATTTGAGTTTTGACGTTGTTTACTTTGTTGAAAATTTTCTCTTCCTGTGTACAATGCACCGTTGTTAACAATCCTAAAACATGCATGAATACAAACAAAGACAAAGACAGACAAATGCAGAACAAAACAAAAGTGTACACTAGCTAGCTAGGACACCCTTAGATGATATGGATGGTGAGAAAGTGAGTCATCACCCTCTTTCCATGGGTTACTTTCGTACTATGTCCCTTCCTTAGATTGTTTAATCTTTCGGTTGAATCACATCCCAGTCGCTTCATCACTTGTACATTATGTGATTTATATATAGGGATGGTACTAACCATCACCCTTAAGATTGTTTAGTTCTTCTCTCTCTCGTGGCTGATGAGACTTTTCTAAATCGGATGACACTACTCTTTCTATACTGATGATTATTGAAATTTTCACTAGACATATAATTTGTCACTCTAGCCTTCATTTTAGTAAACGTTGTAAGATAGGTACGTACTTGTGTAGGTTTTCAAATTAGGTAAATGCCAAAGGTGTCAAAGGCACTGGAAGTCAAGGAATTAACGATTCTGACTTTTAAACATTTCAAATATTCATTTAATTTTTAAAAAAATTGTGCTTCTTCATCTTGTATTTCTTACTACTTCACATCATTGATCATAAGTATCTAAGAAACATTTTTAAAAATTTAATATATATTTTTTAACAAAAATTAATATTTTACTATTACTAATTTTTTATAATTAATAACAAAAAAAATTATTTATTAATTTTTAACTTAATATTTGTAACGTATTTGTTAGTAGGACCATTCAAACTATAAAGAATATTGTTGTGATTTGCTCTTTGTATTTGTTGCATTAGAAGTTTACATATATAATGTTAAACACTTTCTCTGTTATATTTTGTTTAAGATACTCTTTATGAAGTTAAAATTTAGTAGAACTTAATTCATATGTGAAACATATTAAAGGGAGAATAAAATTCATTATTTCATAAATCTCAACAAATTTCAACTAATAGTAATAGTAGGTTAAAGAATCTACTACTTGCATAAGAAATTATAAAATTTTTAAAATATATTTAAAAATATATAGTATTTAATATTATTATTATTATTATTAAGTATTAATTAAAAATTTAAAAGTAAAAATAATTATGAAAAAGTATTACAAAAACTACATTTATTAATTTTCTAGCTATTACATTTACTAAATTTTATAACACTAAGAACCATCCAAATAAATAATTATTTAAATATAAATATGGAATAACCACTCGTCGGGTTATTCCATATCTTGACAGGTTGGCTCTCTAAGATTTAGGATGAGACAAGAACTGGTCCTTTCTGAGCAATATTTGTCTGGAATAAACATGTTCCAGATGACAAAGGACAATTAAGCTGTGCAATATGTGCAAGTGCATGCATGATATGATTTCACCCCCACAACTGCACGTTAATTTGTTTCTAACTCTGGCTGCAGGGAAGCAATAAATGAGTTAGCACCAGCGATGCTAGAAGTATCTAGTTTATTGGCGAGCATTCTAGCAGAAAACTTGGGCTACCCAAAGGATGCAGTTGAAAAACTCTGTGATGCTGGCACATGCTTTCTGAGATTAAATCATTATCCATGCTGCCCAAAATCTAAAGATCAAATTTTTGGATTAGTGCCTCACACTGACAGCGATTTCCTTACAATCCTTTATCAAGATCAAGTCGGTGGACTCCAACTCATAAAAGATTCCAAATGGGTCGCCATAAAACCAAACCCAAATGCTCTAATTGTTAACATTGGGGACCTTTTCCAGGTAAAAAGTTAGAATAAATTAGGTATTATTGAAGCATCTTATTAATTAGGTGACCTTTGACTATGAATGTAACATTTCTAACAGACTACAACCATAGGGAAGGGTTCTTAAACTAATAATCATAATGCCACATGCCAATCTTTTTCAAATTAAGGAATATTCTCTATTTTAAGCAAATAAGTCAACGAATCAATATTCCATGCTTAAGAGAATAAAATGGTTACTTATGGAATCCTTCAACTAGAACAGTGGCTCTTTCGAAGGCTGCAAATGAAAATTGAAATACAACTAAACAAAAATAGCTATCCTTTTTTCCTCTTAAGTCCTAGTCCTAGTCTATAATAAAATCAATAGTAGAGTGACGGCTAGAATGACTTTTGGAGCATCCATTATTGTCACAACCCTACTACCAAAGATGCATGCATGATCGCATCAATTTGGCACTAAAAAACACTTTGGTTATAGAAAGAATTATTAAGTCGTCGGTTACGTACCAGTGGTTCATTCACTAACAAGGTCCTTCCTTTGGAAAACCCAAATACAGGCATGGAGTAATGACGAGTACAAAAGCGTGGAGCACAAGGTGGTGGCAAATGACAAAATGGAAAGATACTCCGTAGCATACTTCCTATGCCCTTCTTACAGTACTATCATAAACGGCTGCAAAGGACCTTCTATATATAGGAAATTCACGTTTGGAGAATACAGACACCAAATTCAAGAAGATGTCAAGAAAATAGGACACAAAATTGGACTATCAAAATTTCTACTTTAAGATACATACCCAGTGATATTGGACAAAGCATTTGACATTATTCACGTGGAGGGATTAATTAATACTACATTGCTTTGGTAGTAATAAAGACAGAGAGGCAGTTCCAATATTCTTTTCTTTCTAAATAAATTATTTTGGTTCAGATACAATTTGTAAGAGTAAATAGAAAAGAGAGCACGATGTAAGCCAAAATGAAAAATGAGGTCTCTTTCTTTCTTCATTAGAGTTTTCTCCTTTCCTTATTTGGTATATATCATGATTTTAGCTTCAGTTGTTAAAAACAGAAAGAAAGAAAGACTAGTAAACAAGAATTTATGTATGCTTTACTAATTAGTGATGATCATATAGTTGTCTAAAGTTATCTAACAGGAACTTGTCACAAGGTTCCTCAAAACACGTCATTCAAATTGGCGAAGCTAATTGAAGAGCAGAAAACATATAGTTAGATCATTAAAAATGGTAACTTTATACCAAAGGATACAAATTCTGGCAGCAGGAAAAGAAATAAATAAATAAAACAAAGTTTGATTGATCGTGCTCCTTTTTGGGCAGGGGTGGCGGCTGTGAAGAAATGTATGACTAGGAAGAAAAATGAGAGTAGGTTATCATCCTTTCAGAAAGCCACAAAGAACATCTTAAAAATCCAACAAATGCGTCAAAATGAAAGTGCCAACAGTCCGTCTCCATGCGTGTCAATGGAATCATTGCAAAGTAAATTGCCTAAACCATATACATATCCTATGAAATCAGTCTATGGTCAAAGATTTTCACTCTGTGTTTAGGAGAGAGATTTTCAAGAAAATGGAAAGGAGAGGCAGAACTTTCATTTTTAATAAATACTAACGTATTTGATAAATTTTTAAAGAAAAAAATTAAAATGATAAATTAAAATAAACTTAATGTCATAATCTTTTTGTTTACATTTTTATATATATGTTGCATAATAACTGTCTTAATTTACAAATACAAATTCTCTTGCTTTCCCTCACCTCAACACTACTTCCAAACACATCCTTAAAAGACCGAGGCGTTTGATTACTGCAGCTAAATGGACCAAAGAACAATACAGATAGCAACTACCGTAACATTTCGCCCCCTTTCTCTTACAAAGTCCCTGAATTTAATTTAAAGAAAATGCTCCATTCTTTAAAGGCATGCCCAAAATTAAGAAAATAAAATAAAAATTCATATTCCATAATTATTTCAATTATTATAGGGAAAACAATAAAATGAAACCTACATGATTGTTTGCATGTCTTCTACAGATGACATGATCATAATGTACCCTGGAATATATTCACAAGAGTAGTCACTAACAACCTTTTTGTTCCAATATTCTTATGAAATGTCAATAAAATATCCCGCACTGCTCTGTAAAGAGGAGCTTTCCCAATCCTCCCCACTTCCCTGGCAATGGATGATTGAAATTCACTTTCATTGTATCAGACTTTGATCTATAACGAACTATATAGATACTAAAATGATCAGAGAGGAATTTGCCCAACTAGGATGAGGCGGCAATTATCAAATGATTTACAGGTGAAGCTATTATCATAGGTCATGACATCATTGTTTTGCCATGACATCGTTGACATGCATGTTTGTGTTGATGAATCTACATATCTTGGTCAAGAAACATTGCCACCTTATCTTTCAGAGTGTTCTTTTTCTTCATCAAGGGGACTACTTCTTCTCTAGCAGATTCATCTTGACTTTGCCTAGGGAACTCGTGGGTAATCTGTAAATTTTTTACAACAGATTTGCTCTCCTCCTCCTTCTCAAGGGTTTTCCTCAGCAAGGGACCTAAGAACAGGTCTAGCATGTCTTGTGCAGGATGACCCGATTGAGAGGTGCTTGTAGCAATTAATTTACCAGTTGTTGAAGTAGAATTAGTCAAACCTTCCCTTCCACAGCTAGATGAAATTTTGTTCTCACAAGGGGAATCAAGAGAAGTTCCTGTTTCATTTGTAACTTGAAATTCCCATTTTGATTCACACTGTCCACCTGATGTTTCTACTCGCTCCTTGTTCTCATAATCTTTGACATACTGCATAGTTCAAATGTGCAAGTAGGGTAAATATAATATCTCCACCACTAACTTTGTTTTGGGAAGCTGTAATTTTGAATTACTCAATTATACGATAATATGTTTAGATAGAAATGGTAAACACGACCCAAGAAAAACCAAAAGCTAATTTTCACTCCTTCAGTTTTATCAGAAAATTACCTCTTCTGCTATGGCAATCAAATCATCAACAGTCAGCTCCACAGCCTCATCGTTAGATCCTTCAACAGGATATACATCAGAACTACCATGGCTAGGATCTTCTAAATTTTTACCATTCTTTATAGCAGATCTCTGAACTCTATCCCCACACCTATCACCTTTTTTCCTCTTCTTTTGAGTATTATCGTCACTGCTTCCATCTTGTTGGTCTAATTTTTTTCTTCCTTTGGTTTCACACTTGGCCTTTAAGTTTGATTTCCTCCTCGAAGATTCCCTCTTACGATCTTTTTTTGTTGCATTTGCTCCTTTTCCCACAGAAGTATTAGTTTTAACAACATTCTCAGAGTCACTCCCATGGCTGGCACCAACCTTCTGCATCATCCATGGTGGTAACTGACGTTTACCTCCCTCAACACTAGTACGCATTCCTATATATAATATGTGAACTCCTAATCTATACTCAAAGAAAAACAACATTTAAAGTTGAATCATCCACACAGATAACTAATTTTCTATCACCCAACAAGGAAGGTTATTCTATTTAAGAGTTGGGATAAAAAGAGAAAGCGAATTTAGCCATGGATTTGCGCAAAATAGTATAAGAACTTCAATCGGGATAAAATTTGGGTTTCACAAAATAAGGTTGTTTGTTAAATTTCGAAAGAGAATGTAAACCCCAGATCCGTCGAAAATGCAATTAGCATAAGGACAAGAAAAGAGAGGACCTAGGGTTCATACCTAGAATTGTTAGGGTTCCGATCCAACACCCAAAATCAGGTTAAATGTGGGGATTTTCAATACAGTCGGGTGCAGGGCGAAGAGGTGTTAACTGAAAACAAGCTGCTGTTGGAAATTGGTTTTTGATGAGTTTTTCTGCTGATTACAGCATAAATTGACATTTTTTCATTCATGTAAAAGAGTTATTTTCTTAAAATTAAATTATAAATTTAGTTTCGAACGTGCTTTTTTAATTTGGATTTTACATATAAAAATTGGTTTTTATATGTTTCTTTTAAGTAAAATAATTATTATCGTTAATTTTATATTAATAAATAATAAAATTAATAATTTATTTAAAAATATAAATACTCTTTTATTTTTAAAATATTAAAAAATACAATTGTATCAATCTAAAAAAAATGAAAAATATCATTTTAAATTTATAAGTATAAACTTAAAAAAAGTTATGATTTAATTTTCACATAAGAAATGCTTTTTAATTAGTTTTTATTATTAAAACAATGTTATCAGTTGATAAAAACGTCAAAAAAAATTTCATACAAAAATTAAAATATTAATAGTAATTAATTTATAAATAAGCATCATATCTTTAAATTTTAAAAATTATAAAAGTTTAAAAATTAAAAATTAAAAATTATATTTAAAGTAAACTTATATGCCGTGCAATTTTATGTCTTAAAAATAATAATTTTTCTTAAAAAAACTTTTTAAATATTTTATAAAAATTAATATATAATAAAAAAATATTAATACTAATACTTTATTAGTTTATTTGAATGTATGATAAAAGAAAACATACAAAATAAAAAATTATTAATTTAAGTTTTTTGGGTTGAATTTTATTAATGTTATATTCAAAATACAATTGATTATTGACTATTAAAAAATTATTTTATTTTATAAGATTATATTAATTTTAGTTTTTTAAATTGAGTTGAACCATTTAAAAGTAAGATTTTTTATTAAAAAATAATACATGTATTATATTAAAGTTATAAAAATATAAATAAATATTTTTTTATTAATTTATTATAATTGTTGCTTAAATTTATTCTTAAAAGTTAGAATTAAGATTTTTTTTATTTTATATTTTTATCTTCTATCTTACCTTCAAATGAATATAAAAAGCATTAGCATTAAAATTTTTATATATTTTTTATATATTAATTTTTATACAATATTTGGAAAAAAATTATTTTATAAAAAAGAAAAAATTTACTATTTTTCATATGTAAAACTACATTAAATATAGGTTTGATTAAAAATATAAGTTTCTAGTCTTAACATTTTGTAAAATTTTCATTTTGTACTTCATTTATTTTTGTAAACAAGTTTATAATTTATTTTTGACTTAATTATGTTTTTGTCTTTACAAAATAACACCGATTGTGATGAAATCTTTAGAATTTTTTTATATATAAAATTATGTTCTTAAATTCTTTTAAAAAGTTAGAATTTAATCTTTAATATTAATTTTCTTTAAGTGATAAAGTGTTTGTCAACCACAAGACAAAAAAAATTAATTAAACTTTTATTTTTTTTTATATTATAATACACACTTATTTATAAATTAGTCTCTACAGTTAATATTTACATGTTAGCCTTTTTTTTTTTTCACATTTTGATTCTTCTCATTTAACATTGTTAATATGTTTTTAATAGTAAAGATTAATCCAAAAATATTTACTTATGTAGAAATTAAATTATAACCTCTTTTCATGTAAGGAATAAATTAAGAAATGCATTATATATAAGGATTAAATTTATAATTTAACCTATATTTGTCTTTCTTTGAATTCAAGTCAAATCAACTTTATCATTTAAATGAGACAATAACGGAGGTAATAGTAATACACACAATAAATAATACAAAGGTGTTAAAATCAATTCCCAAGGACCTAGATGTAATTCTCTGGAGATTCAAGATATCATATATTTTATCTTCGTATATCAAACTTCACATAAATTAAAACATTTATAAATATATTATTCAAAATATAGCATTAACTTATATTTTAAAAATATAATTTCCACTAAAATAATATAATGCAATATTTAACATTTATTATAAACAAATCTTTGCTCTCTTGATATATATAACCGACCTAAAAAGGAGCAATAAACGTAATATCCTAGTGCAGTAAGGATTTAATCGAAAAAAGAAATGTCAACATTTGAAAGAGAGAGAAAAAATCTTACAGACACGTCATTTTCTAATTAAAAGTAAAAAGAAAGAAAACAGGTAAAAGGGACCATAAATACATTACCATTTCAATAATAACAAAAATGTATTGTTTTCTTCATCTCTGCTCAAATACACAATAAATAAATCATAAGCTTGGATTAAGTACGGTTTTCCAAATCAATTGAAGGATTGACCCCTCAAAGCAAGCAGAAGAAGCAGTGAACCACAAACCGAAACAAGTCCAAGAAATTATGTAAATAATGATTTACCTTCACACAATGCATAATACCTATCAACCGTTAAATATCACCATTACTTAAATTTGACGTCGATGGCAAACTAGCATCATAAATCTACAACAGTTCCTAAGGCATGGGAAAAACACCTGCACTCTGAAATCAATAATGGTGCATTTCAGCTCAAACCATTGTTATATTAATTGCTTTCCTATTTTCATTTTCTTTTCTTTTCTTTTGCGAGGAAAATGTTTTTATTTATACAACAGGAGTTCCAAGTTTTCCTTCAAATAAAATAAATAAACCACGGAGCAGTAAGATCAAAGATGGATTAGAAACAGTGGAAAGTCCTGAGATTGTGAAGATATCAGTTACTCCCCGGATCCTCAATCACATGCAGCACCAAAACAGTTGCAGCTAAGACTTCCACGTAAAAATGTGAACCTCGATTTGCGTACCCAATGTTGATGGAGTCAGCAGTTTCCACAGCTTGAATTGCTAATGCATAAACCAAATCAAATTTTATATATGATATTCTATCTATACTTTATAATATACAAATATGATCATGCATTCGTGCTTTCTAAGATAATCGGTTTTTTTTTTTCTTAGTCTGGTGCAAGATGTACGCCAAAATTTATAATGAATATGCAAATCATATTTTAGAACTTAAGAATTATACGAGGAACTTCACTTACACGAACATAAATGTATTGAATAATTCCATATTGAAAGACTTCACTGATTTCAACTTGATTGGTAGAAAAAAGAGGTGTGACGGCTAGGTCACCAAATTTCCAAACCAACTAGGTAAACCAGTTAAATTTAATCATATAGTGGTTTGGTTCGGTTTCCTTATTATATGGCTCCTTTCTTTTCTTAGTTGGATGACCAAGAATGATTTTATATCTCTAACAGTTTGAATCTGTAATATAGTTGGCCTACTTTCTTCTCTTTCTTTTTTTCCTTCCCTTCGTATGTTGAACCTATTGCTATTTGTCTGTGGACAAAGATTTCAGTTAATCATGTACTTGTACACACCAAGCACATGGACGCATGATTATGCAACTTCAAAAAGGGAATACATGAAATGAGTTTTGTTGATCAAGAGAACTTACCTAAGTTCTATTAGGCAAAATACTACTAGCAAGATCCTCGTTAATGGTAACAGGCAGTGGTGGCATTTGGCTCATAATGCCAGGCATCTCTCTCATGCTGCACAAAATTAGTGAACTTCACGAAGTTTATAGATATTGAATCCAAATTTAAAAGAAAATGACTTTGCATGATATCGACAGCAAACTTGTTCAAAGGATTAACATACTCATTAAGAATGGTATTAATATTGTGCCTTGTGTGGCAAAAGAGGTCGATGTTATCCTGCAACTGTTTGACAAAGGACATCATCATTATCACAGCTTAGGGACCAAACATTAATTAAATATAATTATATATGAATGAATAATATGATGACAATGTGAGAATGCATAGAACAAACTTGTACAAATTTGAGGAAAAATAGAACGCATAAAGCCACTTGCCTACAAATTGATGCTCAAGTCAATCAATAATAATACATGTAAGTGAATTTGATACTCATCTTCTATTTTCTAACAAATTTATCTCTTCCTAAACATGATAAGAATTAGTCTTCCATGGAAAAATCAAGGCAGGTGAAATGCCACAGATTAGTTAATATTTCAGCTAATATTTGTTAACCCAGTAAGATTTTCAGTATTTGTGAAGGGCCTGAAATCCATCAGCTGCACTAGTATTTGTTAAAAAAAATCCCTAAAACATATGATGGTTGAGCTATTTATTTACCTTGTAAGTAGACAAATTGGCCGTGATTTGACTAAAAGCTTGAGCATTTTGTTCCAACAGTTGCTTCAAAGGACTACAAATTCCTGATTGTACATAAGGAAGAAGGTATTGATGAAATAAGGACACTAATTCCAGTGACACAAACAGAAACACCATAAAAGCTGGGGGTGGGGCGATTCTAAGCTGACATTATAATCCAATTAGGTTTGGTAAGTAAATTAAACAAAAAAAAAAAAGTGATAGACAACAGCATATCTTGTCATTCCATTTAACCGACAATGACAAAAAACTAAAAGCTAACACAGTGTCATTTAAATATAACAGAACATTAACTGAACTGAATCACACCCTACAGCCTCCACAAAGACATGCCGCTGCTAAAGGAGTAATATTCACAATTTATTTTTTTTTGTTTTCTAGCATAGATTGTAGGAAGCTGGCTGGCCAGCTGGGACAACTGGAACGGAAGTAGGATTTGTAATTGAAGATGTCAATGCTATTTGAGGGGAAATCTAACACCATGTGGGAACTTCTCCAAAGGCTACAATTATTGAATGTAATAATATTGATGCATTTGTATTTTGGGATTTAGTGATCATAATTGCTAGATTCAGGATTAGTTATTAGGTTTGGAATGAGGAAAAATAGAGTTTACGAGAGCGAGTTTTTAGAACTATTCTTAAAAGCATTTCTGTTTTTAAAAATTAAGAAACAGTGCAATCTGTTTGAAATGTCATTTTCATTATATTAATATTAAAGACAGCTAACATATTTTCTTTTTCAGAAATGAAATGTGTTGACATATCAATTCTTAGTTGAGGAGAAATTTTTAAAATCAGGAATAATGTAGTTGCACACAAGAGAGAGAACATTATGAGAACTTACATTATAGTTCATATAATTAAAAAAAGAAAACGATATACTAACCATCATATAGTATCCGTTGACTTTGGTCCATCATATGGTGTGACATGCGAGAGTATGTAGCCATGTTTGGAGACAGAACTGAATGAAAATTTGTCTTTGACGTTGACTCCACTGGCTTATCCTGAAGAAGCATGACTTTAGAATACTGGTTCTTCAATCAACATTAGATCCTAAAGACATTAATTGATTCAATATATCAAAACTGGAATCCCATTTATGGGATGCAACATAATCATATTTTATTATTATTTGAGTTATCATCAACATCCTTGACAAGATAGTTAAGCAGGTTCAGAGGACTCAAAGCAACTGAATACTGATATTATACTACAGGATCTGATTGGTCAAAAACAACAATAACAAATAATTTGCTAATATAAATGAAATGTAGAGATATTTACTCTCTGGGGAATCCAAAGGAAAGCATTTAATACTTTATTCTTCAAGTTGAAGGGTATTGAATGCTTCAGCATGGATAGCAAGACCTTGATTGTATACAAGAAAGGTAGAATGAAAGGTAAAAATTCAATCACAAGGGGTTGGTTTAGGGTGGACGAGCATATGATGTGCAATTTGGCACAAGGTTATGGTTCAAATCCTAACCAAGATAATTATTACTTGTGACCAGGATGCAAGGAACAAATATCATAGTGAATTCCCAAGTCCCAATGGCTTGCCTTTGACCAAATTGAGGAGGTGGATTAGTCAAAATGTGTGTATGCTAACCATGTACCACTTGACAGCTATAATAAAAAAATGCAAAAAATTTACTTGAGAACCATAGTATGATATGATGGATATGCTAGAGATTGGCTCTCAGCTCTTTATTTTATAATACAAATCTGCACAACAAATCCCTATAATTTTGGGATAGGACAGCTAATCTAATCTCAGCAGTAGCTAATGTCTAGGCTAATTGCAACAAATTTAAGGGGAAGTGTGCGTCAATTTACTGAACTAATCGCATGAAAATATGTGGGCATTTGGTAAAATATGTAGTTTAATGGGGATTATGGACATGGTTAAAACTAGGGAGAATGAAAAGGCTGGGAGAAAAGAGAGAATTCAAAAACTATTTATGAAAAATCTCAAATGATGTTGTATGACCTGCAAATTGTCATTATATGGACTTTGAATACAAAATCACAATTACTTCAACCAACCGCATAATAGAATTTTTAACTTTCAATCTATTGAGTTTAAAGTAAATTTTTCATAGATCTTCAAACTTACTTATAGATAAAATATATTTCAAACTTTTTCTTATAAAAATATAGTTGAAATTCAAACCGTACTTAAAACAATAAGTGGAGAATCAATAAAAATTACTTAAGATTAATTTGACAACTCTTCAACACACTATATTATAAGAAACATTGTACATGTACACTGGCCTCCCAGATTTCGCATACCTTTCTGTTATTGACCTTCTTTCCCAGACTGTGTTCGTCTGGTTTCCTTCGCTTTCTCTGCAAAATAATTTGAACAGTATTTTAAGTTTCTATAACAGATGTAAAGGAGCAAACTACACAAGTATCCTGGTCAAATGCTTAATGTGTTATGTTTATACAGTGCCACAGCTTTCTTTATTGTGGATAAAACTTTATATAGGACCCTAATATTGTTTTCAACTTTTAAATGAAAAAAAATAGGCAAGGAAGTTAACTTGGTTTACTTTATCAAGAGTCTATTTGATCATGAGATGAAACATAACCTTTAAATAGGGTTATAAATTGTGATCAGCAGTGGCAATTGCAGCCACAACGACCATATTTTGGCCAAATTGAAAGTTCCATCAGCTTTATTTTCCTGCATTTTTTTTTCTGCAATTGCTGGAACTGCTACCATGACAACCAAAATCTAAAACCCTGCCTTTAAACCACTGATATCACCATCGCTTATACAACACTTTAGCTACACAGCCATGCAAAACTTGAGCCGTTGTAACAATGCCAAAAACTAAGGTGTAGGAGGAAGTGGGAAGACAATTAAATTTTGAATGCATTGAAAAGGGGAAGTTCCACTACACACATTCAACTTTCAAGCAATTAGTCCCAACATATTCAAGTCAAGTGACTTTAATGCATTTAGAATTTAAAATTTTCTTCTCTATTCTTGTACTGCATAGGTATCATACTTGGCAGCATTAAAATAACGAGATCGGAGAAACTGTTGAAAGAAAAAGAGCTTACTGTCAACCACCTACACCTCAAAGCAACATCACGAACAGTTTTATCAGGCAACATGGCAGCAATTTTGATATACCTCATTATACTTGGTTCATCAGCATATCTAGTCATGAAACAGAAGAATCACAAAAACAAGGGTTGGAAAACATAAACAGTAGAAAGAGAAAGAAATACAAAACAACAAATTTAGCATAGCCATTATGACCCAAATAATTCTAGAATAAGAGACAAGCATAATGCTCTAATTGGTTCTAAGGAGGATAGGGAAGAGGTGAGGAATTTAATGGAGGGAAAGGAACACCTTGTGTGGTTTGCAATGGGAGGAGTGGGAAAATATAATAATTTACTATTATACCTTTACAATAGACAAAGAAAACCGTTAAGTTCAAGTATTCAAATTTAGAATAATGTAATCAGCACTTGCACAAACTTTTAGTATTTTCCCTCTCTTCCAAACCCCCAATATTGGAGGGAGGCAAAAATGGGAGGGGAGGGATATTGAACCCTTATTTCCCCTCCCCTCCATCCCCATCCAGGCTCCAGCCAATGTCAGCAGTTAGCAAAGGAAAGAATACTTATCAGCATTTTAAGTAGGAATTGAAATGTCAAAAGAAACTCACATTTGGAAATTAAGATCATCATAAGAAAAATAGTCCATCATGGATATAAAGGGTCAATTGGCAATTGCGTCATCAAAACAAAAAACTATTATCTAAGCTCCGAAATTATTTTCATTAGAGAGAAAGTTGAAAACAAATTACCATGGAGCAATGTAACACATGGATGCCAAAATGGTCAAAAACCCAGTCACAACAAACAAAACAACTTACTTGGCAAGGCTCTCCTCCAATTTGTATTGTTCATCAACAGACCACTCAACTGCCAACCCTGTGTCGTGCTTCAGCCCCGGTACCGAGTCAAGAAGAAGAGAAGAACCAGATGGGTTACCAGCTTGACTTATGACAGGGTTGCTGTTAATGATGGTTGAATTCCCAGAATATATCATCCCAGACGAACTACTTAACCCAAAATAATTACCCATTGGAACCATCTCGGATAGGCTATTAATAGCACCAGGCTGAAATGATATTGCATGCCTGCTCAACACGGAATCTATATCTTCATTGTGAAATCCAGCGTTTGACTCTGCTGCCATCCTTATCCTTTGTTCTTAGTTGTATCTATAGACTTCCCCAAATCACTATAATCCACAACTAGTACCAACAACCATCTTCAAACAAAAATAAGAACATAAATACCTGCACCAATTCACCGATTCAAGGTATCCATCCAGGATCAAAATCATTTATACTCCACAAAGATTTAAGAAAAACGAAATACCCAACAGGAATCAGAAGCGAAATACCCAGAGAAGATTCTACATCAAGCAAACAAAGGAGATAAGGGGAATTTGGTCACAGCCCAGATTAAGCAACCGAAAACCCACGATCAAAAGCCCCCAAAAATCCAGACTTTAGCTGAGAAATGAAGAGAGCAAAGAAGAAGGCGAAGCCTGAAGTAAAATCCCAGAAAAACCCAAATCAGACTCTAGAAAAGAGAAGAAACTTCACCTTGAAAAGAGTCAATTATAGAGCTACAAAGCAAAGGAAAACGATAAAAGCCCTAATAACAGCAAATCAGACGTGTCTTAACAGAACAACAGAGAGTGGATAGAGAGAGCGAGAGAGAGAGAGATACCTTTTTTTGTAGCAACTTTCCGACCGAGACCTAGTTGGTTGTGGTGATGGTGGTGTCTTTTTTCTCTCTCTCTCTCTCTCTATCTCTTACTACGCTACAATGCTATTACTGCACTACCATTTGGCATTTGCTACTTTCTGGGTTGCGGGGTACGCTGCTTTGCTTTGTGACACACAAACACACTCACACATTCTCTCTCTCTCTTCCCTCTCGAGAGAGACAAGAGATGGCTTACACCTCCGCCAATAGGGAAGCAGAGAAACGGAAAAAGGAAAATCTGCTTTTATTTAAAATAAAAAATAAAAAAGAAAGATAATAATGGATGGTTGTGGATCTTGGAATTCAGCAACAGTGCGAATCCCAATAAGCATTTGATGCTAATCATTGTGGACTCCACCTCTCCTTTCTGCTTAATTTTTCTGCTAATTTATCTTTTATGATTTGTTGTTTTATGCAAAGTATGAATATTATTTTTATTAAAAAGCATAAGCAACAAGTACACCCTATGCCAAGAGAACCTGTGGAGCTTTGTCAAACCAGTAATCATCGTTATCATTATAAGGTCCTCCCACTTCCCATGTTGGCCTAAAACATGGAATCACCTACCAAAGAATTCCATTGACCAATACTTTATTCATGAGAAACTCAGTTAAAAATCTCTAATTTCAAGTAAAAATATCAACTTTAATATCTATAGAAGCCTCCATACTATATTCTCTTCCCCCACCCGATTAGCATGCTTCATTAGGAAAATTAGCAACACTCCTTTTTTTATTTTTCGGTTAACAATGCTGGTAGGAGCGATTTCGCAACCCTTTGTGAAGTTACATAGTAGCATTATTTTAATGGAAAAAATAGGAACTGTGTCAGCTTCTCTAAAATCATGACAAGTCACTGATATCCGGAGTTTTGAATTCTAACGAAGCACTTTAGCATTGTAGTGTTAGCATTTTATGGGATGATTATCAACTTTAGTCCGTCAAATAACTTTATAAAATGTTTACTTTATTTTTAAATTTTACAAAATAACATTTATTTAGTTATTTTTAAAAAAAAGATATTAAACAAAGATTAAAGCGGGTGACTTTTAAAAAATATAATAAACTTTTATAAAATTTAAAACTAAAATAATTAACACTTATAATTTGAAAAGTTAAAATAAAATATCTATTTTCATTTTATTTCAAGAACAAAAAAAAGTGTGAAAAAAATACTGCTTTTGTTTTGAATTAAGAGAAATGGTCTAAACTAACCAGAATCTGTATTCTAAAGTAATACACTACATTATAACATAAAAAATAAAATTTATTATATCTTTTACAATTAAAAGAATTTATATTTTTTATACGTGAAATAATCTTGATTATTAATTTTATATAAATAAATAATTAAGTTAATAGTTTAGTTTAAAAATATTAATACTTTTTATTTTTAAAATATAAAAATTTCATAATAATTAATTTAAAAATATATAAAATATCTGTCACAAGAAAAAATAAAAACATCATAACTCAACTAATAATGTTACTGGTGTGACACTCTAAAAAGGCATGGTTAATGCTTTGATTTGGTATAGCGTTTGCCTCCAAAACAGGTGGGTCCCTAAGGCCTGAGAAGCTCTTTAATGTAACGTGGCCGAATCATGTGTGCACACCAACCCAACCACTACCTTCCTTCACACTCGCCACAACGTTCATCTTCGCTGCGGGGGAGGGAGTTTTCATGCACAATTATCAATTTACATTTTTCTTCTTGTTCATACTTAATAAAAGTTCTTTGTAATTCTTGAATTTAAGATGGCATAAAATCATATCATAAATTCTTAAAAATTTCGATGATTTATCAAATCGAGGAGAAGGGAAACATTTTAAAAAGAAAGGAAAAAGAATCACATACATATGGATCTTTGAATCAATTGCAAGTATATCAAACTACTTTCAGAATCGTAATCAACCAGGGTCAATTTTAAATAACGTAATTGGCATGGTTTAGGCCAAACTGCGATTAATGGATTGTGACGATGACGAATAACGGGTTTTGATCAATTATCACACAATAAATTATCCTGGTTAGGGATTGGTGAACCATTACAAAGACATGTCCAGTGTGGATCCGAAAGCATCAACCATAGATAACCTAAAACGCATAATTAAATGATTTGTTTTCTGGTCACACCAAACTCGTTCCTTCTTCTTTATGACTTTTCTTTTAGTACCCCGTTTAGTGTATAGAGAGAAGTGACATATTTAGGATAATGTTAACAGTAGGTTCAAGGTTAAAAAGTACGAGCACACGTAGAAATATGATAAATTTTGAAATTCACTGGATATGATACATCTATAATATAATGTATAAAATTAGTTTTAAATCAACATATAATAAAAAATTTAATTATAAGAGATGATTCATGTTTTCAAAATGAGTGAGTCATTGTAGTAAAAAATGCTTAAATTTGATTTCGTATTTCAATCAGTTTTCTAAGAAACAAGCTCTGAGCATCTAGATTTATGATAGAGTACCTCGAGGCAGATAAATGTTGATCGGAGGAGGAAGATCTTATGAATTGAAGCAAGAAAAAGGTAAAAATGGGGTCAGAATTGAGCATTGAGAGGCTAGAAATAGCGATGCAAGAAGTTGAATTTGTAGATCATCATCTTTCTCATATGTTTTCTAACCCTAACTCTACTTCCATGTCATAAAAAAATAAGGTTCTAAAATCTAAAGACATAGATCTTGTTCTAAGTAACGAAGATATTGTTAGATTTGTTATGGAGGCTTTAATTTTTTTTTATGACGAAGAATCTACTTAATGATAATAATCTAGATCTCTGCCAAAACCTGAAAATTGCTCTAGATGACTATGAAGCTTGGTGCTCACCATGGGAAGGTATTCTAATAATTAAATTGTTAGGCAAAATTGTTAGTTTTATTTACCTAAATAAGAGATTAGGGAATATTTGGAGGAAAAATAGTTCCCTGAAGATCTTAGATCTAAATAATGACTTCTTTTTAGTCAAATTTGAAAGCATAATTGATTATAGATTTGCTCTCTTTGAGGGACCCTGGTTGATTCTTGTCCATTACCTCTTAGTTCAACAATGAAGGCCTTTATTCAGGTCAAAAGATAATAAACTTAAAAAGATTGATGCAACATTGAGCCAATGCAAGTTTCTACTTGCCATCATAAGAATTTATCATTATACAGTTCTAAAGGAAGATTAAGGGTAGATTTGCTAGGTTTTGTGTAGAACTGAATCTTAGAAAAAAAGCTTATTCCCCCCTTTAAAATCCTACGTCAGGAGTTTAAAATTGAATATAAAAGTCTTCACCTTATTTGCTTTGGTTGTGGTAAATATGGTCATAGGTAGGAATCTTGCCCTAAAATCTATATCTCCAGTCAATCTTCCATTAACACACCTATTAATTCTAGCAATCCAGAAGAGGACAAGGACAAAATACCTAGTTCCCCTGTTACTCATCATATGGAGGGGGTTAAGTGTGAATTGGAAAGCAAACAAATAATAGATCAAGGTAAATTTGACCCCTGGATGTTGGTAAAAAGACCTATGAGGAAAAAAATTAAGTCAATTAAAGATAGGGAATAATTCAATCCAGAATAACAATAAGGGTAAGGGGTCCCCTTCAAGTTCTAGATTTGATGTTTTAGTTGAATCTAACTATTCGCTTAATAAAAACACTACAACTACTGATCCTAAGTCTATAATCATTCAGAATAGCAAGAGTAGAGATGATTTAATTTTCCCTAACTTAGCTAACGCTAAGTCTCATGGGAAGAAAAATATAGAATAAGGTTTATAATCAATCTAAAAACTTTGTCAAAATTAAGAATAAGCAAAAATCTGATAGGAAAGGATGGAGTAAGGACACTATTTCTCAAGATGAGGCCTTAGATTTGCCTGCTAATGAAAGAAAGGACCATGATAATTTCAGTCAAGACAATAAAGAAATTTTTAGGATAATACATAGGTTGTAGAATGGGTAAAGATAGCACTATCAGGATATTATAAGGGCTAATATGGTTAGGTGTTGACAAAATTAAAATAAGAAAATTAATGAACCTTCGTATAGACCCCCTAATTCCAAGCTTGATATGGACATAGACGTGACTTCTAAAGTAATGGACCCTAAAGTAAAGGCCTTTGTTGTTTATAATACTTTAGCTCCTTTTATTTTTAAATTTGTTAATGATGTTTTTAAAAATCCTAACCTTATTTATGAAGTTAATGAAACCAATATTTCTCTTATTCTTAAAACTAAAAATCCTAAGTATATAGCTAGTGTTAGACTAATTTCCCTTTGTAATGTGAGTTATAAGATTGTTACCAAACTTATAGCTAATAGGCTTAGAGAATCTCTCCCTTACTTAATCTTTACTAATCATAGTAGTTTTATTCTAGGTAGGCAGGAAATTGATAATCCCATAATCCTCCAAGAGTTACTACATTCCTTCTATAAACTAATAGGCAAAAATAGTTATATGATTCTTAAGCTAGACTTAGAAAAAGCCTATGACAGACTTAGATAGAATTTTATTTCAGATACCTTCCTTAAAGTTGGCCTAAAACCAGATTTTCTGAGACTCATTCATCATTGCATATCCTCTCTCCCCATGCATTTAAATTGGAACAACAATATCTCAAGTAGTTTTACTCTTTCTAGAGGAACTCGCTAAGGAGATTCCCTATCTCCCTACATTTTTGTCATGTGTATTGAGAGATTAGCCCACCTAATCAAAGATAGGATTATGGATCACAACTAGGTTCCTTTTTCTTTTAATCTTCAAAGCCCTAATATTTCTCACCTTTTCTTTGTTAATGATATCTTATTAGTTGCTAAGGCTAAAGAGCATAATGCTAATACTATTAATAATGTTCTTAATGATTTTTGTTCAGCCTCTTGTTTAAAAATCAATTACACTAAATCTTCTTTGTATTTTTCTAAAAATGCCAATCATGTCTTAATTCACTTTATCAGCAACTGCTTAGGAATTTTTTCCTCTTCTCGGATTGGAAAATATTTAGGTATCCCTGTTACTCATTAAAATCTTACTAAATATCATTTTAACGTTCTCATTGATAAGGTTAGGAAGAAATTATTTCTTTAGAAAATGAATTCATTATCCCTTGCTGGTAGGGTTATCTTTATCAATCCAGTCTCATGAGTATTTTATCTTGTATAATGCAAGATCACTTGATTCTCATTGCTGTTTGTAATGAAATAAATACTATC